CCCACTGAAGAAAAAAGATCACATTTATTTAAAAAAATAATTATAAAAAAGTGTGATTTAAAAATTATGCGGAACTTCTGAAGAAAAAATTAATTATATACATTAAAATGTAGTTCAAAAAACTTGTAAAGTATTTTTAATTGAAAAAAATTAATTATAATAATTACAAAATACAATTTTTAAAAATCATTAAGAATTCGCAAAAAAAAGAAAGTTATAGTTATAAAAAAATATGATACAAAACGTAATTGAAAAATCGGAGAATATTTTATTTCCATTTTCTTCAAATGTCACGTCACCAATAAACTCCTCCTCATCAGTAAATAAATTCTCCTCACTGCCTAACTCTTCATCACTATCAGGAATTATACGATTTTGGCTCATTTTATCTGCTTCGAAAATCCCCTTTTCATTTTTCAGTCATTCCATGTATTCACTATTCGGAGGTTAGATTTCCTTCCTTGTTAGTCTCTTTTAATGGGTGATGCGCATGCGCGTCATGCGTTATATCGGGTTTCCGTTGACTATAGTCAACTGGAAAGTAGCGGGTTTCAAGCGCCTACCCACACTCAACTGTTAGAACAGTGGGTTTCAGTTGAGCGTGGGTAGGCGCTTGAAACCCGCTACTTTCCAGTTGACTATAATCAACTCAAACCCATGCGGTTACACGCACATATCACATAAATTCTATTTTTGACAAGTGGGAGTTTTGTAGACCGAGGCGAAGCCAACCGCGTTTAAAGTCTACACTTAACCGTCTGCAAAATTTTCTTCAAGAGGTAATGGATTCTATCCAAGACGGCGAAAATGGATTCCCATTATGCTCCCACATGCTCCTATGCCCGACGGCCTGGCGTAGTGGGTAAGGTTATTGCCTCACGTGCGCAAGGTTCCGAGTTCAAATCCCGGTCAGGTAAAATGGCGAAATCTAACCATTTTAAAATCTTGATCATCGTCGCAATATACTCAATCAAGTCAAAGCGATGTAAAATAACAATAAAGAAAATTTGCATGCCCCTTCGCTTTTTTTAATAGGTTCTTGAGACACGTGATTTATTAGTAGGGTAGGGTAGGGCAAAATGGACCAGTCGGGCAAATCGGACCGAAGGGCAAAATGGACCCCTGACGTAAAAGTAATAATTTTTATTGACAAAATTCCTTCCTTGCAATACCCGTTTACATTGAGGTATTACCAAGAATGAATTTGAGGGAAAGAGTATGGGTCAAATTGTGAAAGTCGAACTGTAGGATTGCCTTCCGAGTCATACTTCTCAAAGATTAGGCTTCACGAGGTTGAAACGTCACTACAATCATGCTTCGCGAGATTCAAACTTTGCAACCCTAGTAGAAATTTTCTGAAATTCTGCAACATTGAACTAAAGTGCCTATGCCTATAACACTGAAAGTTGCATGTTAACCCCACCGCGATGGTTGCGCGGCGTTCAATTTCTACTAGGGAATGATTATCTCAATCATCAGGTTAATTGATCTGCTTGTAGATTGTTTGGATGAAGGCTCAGAATCTTTGAACGGGACAAGTGTCTCTTGACAATAATTACTTGAATCAACAACATTTATCACTTCAGTCTAGTAGTACATGATTTAAGGAATGAGAATGAAGGAAGTTCTTGATCCAAGCACAAGAAATCCCTTGAATCAAGAACAGATGTCCATTGAATCTAATGTATAAAATACCAACACGTAGAACTTTTCTCCGTTGTTTTAAGGAAAAAAGTCACTTGAAACAAGTGACTTTTTCACTTGTATTAAGAATCTCCGCTCGTTACCCGTGTAGGAATTTGGTCGGGAATTCAGCCGCAACTCGGGTACGTGGAACTCAGCCTCGGCTTGACGCTGTACCCGAGTTCACGGCGCATCACGCCGCTCCATACCGGTTTGGAGCGCAACGCCAAGACAGCACAACCCGGTACCTGAGGTTGAGCAGTGGCTCAACGCTCAAAACTTAGCTCCGACTCAGTCGTGTCGTTTCGAGCGGAGGGTGGGGCAAAATCGAATTGGATCATTCCTCAGAATCATCTTAAAGGTTTCTAGGAATCTTCCTCCCCGGAAAAAATCTCCCAAAAATAAAATCCCCATTGCCCCAAACAAAAATACAGAAAAATCGAAACAAGTCCATTTCACATGTCTTCATTCTTCAAAGAAAAATAAATACACAGAAATACCTTTTGTGAATCAATCAAGAATATCATTTCTGAATCGTCTTGATACAAGCGATTCAATTGATTTTTAACGTCTCATTAATAACACAAAAATCTTTTCATTAAAAATATTCTGTTCAATGAACATATGAGATGATTCAAATTTCAGTTTAACTGAAATACGTATGAAAAAATTTAATAGAAAATCCTAGCCAATTCGCTAGAAAATTCTATTGGATTTCTATTGAATTTTCTATAAGTTTTTTGCCGTTTCTATTGACATGTTCGATAGGAAATATTCTATAGAAAAAGTCAATAGAAATCGATTTCCTATAGAATTTCTTAGGTTCAAATTTTCCAAGTTTTTTTGTATATCATTGGATTTTTAGTGATATATGAAAGTTTATGAGTTTTCATCTTTAAATTGAATTCAATGTTACCCTCTTGTAATTACTGATTTACTCTCCATGAATTTTTAGTTTTTGCTTCCGAATGGAAGCTAATTGTAATTTTTTTCGATTTCCTACTTTTGGGTGGAAATGCCTAGAAATATCATGAAACGTGAAGAAATGATGTTTTTAAAAAATGTCTGTATGTATGTATGTCTGTGGTCATGTGTGTGCGTATGTCCCCAATTGCGCTCATAACTGGAGAACGGTTAGCGCAAAGAACTTGAAATTTTGGCTGCTATCTGGTATTATTGATACTCAAAACTGGGCTAAATTTCAGCTCGATCGGTTGAGCGGTTCCTGAGATACAGCAATTCCTCAAAAATCGTTTTTTTCGATATCTCCTGAACCGTTCGACCGATTCGATTCTTTTTTTCAAAATACTCGTCGTGATGATACCTATCTAAATGGATCGAAAAAAGACCGTTACACCCCAAGCAATGTGGCTTTATTCTCGTTTTTTCATTTTTTCGCTGAAATTGCTTGTAAACATGATAACTTGAAAAATAATCCAGATAGAAACTTCAAAGTTGGTAGGATTTCAGGTCTTGTGATAACAAAGTTTGGTATTTTGGATGAGCTAAATCGGACTAGTAGTTTCGGAGATATTCAACTTTTTATGTGAAAGTATTTTGCTCTGTAATGTCCAAAAATTTTATACTAGGAAGNAAAAAAGACCATTACACCCCAAGCAATGTGGCTTTATTCTCGTTTTTTCATTTTTTCGCTGAAATTGCTTGTAAACATGATAACTTGAAAAATAATCCAGATAGAAACTTCAAAGTTGGTAGGATTTCAGGTCTTGTGATAACAAAGTTTGGTATTTTGGATGAGCTAAATCGGACTAGTAGTTTCGGAGATATTCAACTTTTTATGTGAAAGTATTTTGCTCTGTAATGTCCAAAAATTTTATACTAGGAAGTTAAGACCAGAATAAATTTTATGTAAGATTATAATTATAAGTTATATTATAATTTCAGGTAATTAAGAACCGAATCCACAATTGTAAATTAAACTGAGTGAATTTCATCACCTGGACTCAATTAAAAATTCCAAAGACACCAGAATCGAGTTCAAAAGTGATGAAATGGCACACTCAGCATGCCCCAATTACTCAATACTAAGATTCGCGCGCGAAAGAACGATTGAAAACCGATTAATTACGACCCCCAAAAACCGAATGAACTACTTCCCCATGAAAATCAAAAGAGTGGGAAAAGTCATACGACATTTTCCACCAATTAAAAATGGACTCGTTGGAGCCCATGTGACAAGTGATCCCAAAATTCATATAAAAATGTCAGAAAAATCAAAATTACACAGTCTTGAAGCAGCGACGGAGCAGTAACAATTCTGGTGGAAATTGTTCATTTAATCGGTCCGGTTTTTCAATCCTTCCTTCGACTACACGGGATAGTACTGAATTAATAGTAAGTTGCGAACAATTGAAATTATCCGGGAATAAAATTTCTTTAACCGAGAGTGGTGACTTTTCTTGCAAATAAGGAATTCGTTTATTGTAACGCGTTGTGGACAGTCTCAACCAAACTCTTAAAATCTTCAACTTCAACGGCCAAAAATTCATTAAAATATCAACGAGTAGAAGAAAGTGTTTCCGTGAAAGTATCCATAATAGCCTTTAGCGCGACTAATTGCTGGTGAGGAAATTACGGATTTACCCAGGGATCTACAAATACATCGAATAATTTATAAATATCAGATCGAATTGTGAGTAACAAAATTTGTAAACTCAAATTTGAATCCTTCAGATCATTCCAGGGATAGGAATTTTAGCTACCTAGATTTCTGTAAAATCACGCTCATGTTTTTGTAAACCGAGTAGTTATACAAAATATATTTAAATTCAAATTTGATTCCCATTACAACTCCAAATGTCTTGAT